CCAGTGCTTATTTCAAAATTTAAGATTTCAAGTCCCTCTGAAATGAGCGGCATTGTTACAGAACACAGATTGTTGAAAATCCTGACTCATTTGTCTTAAAGGCCCATGTACTCATTGGTTTCCTCTCTAAAAAAAACTGTTAGCTGGTTATTCCTTGGTGGTAATAATGTGATATGACTTCCATTTCCAAATGATGCTTTAAGATTCTGTAACTCGTGAACTTTGACTAGCCAAGTTCAACACTACGTTCTCGAACAGAAATGTTTGGTGTTGTCACGACCGACGCGCGAACTGATCCCACATCTCACAACGTTTTGTTAACCCTATTCATACGTCTTGGTTTACTATCGTATCCATACGACGTTGGGAACTCTGTGCCATCACTGTCCAAAGAGGGAGTTTACTCGTTAATCCGATCCGTACACTTTGCATAGCAGTCTGTCAAAATGATTTTTTGAGAAGTACTGAAAGTTTCAAAGAGATTTTCGTTCTAGAAGTATTCTAAAAAGTGAAGAATACAGCCCCGGGGGTACAAAATGACCCCAGGGTGTACGCCCGTCCCTAATTGCTTTCTGAAAGACACTCTCACTTTGGTATGATCATACCGCTCCCAGATTGCTCTTACAGGAGGCGCATTAGATCTAGATCTGGAATCACTTTTTGTTCTCTCCGCAATTACAGGCTTGGAGTTTCTTTTTTTATAGTAGAGGGTTTTACAGCGCTCGCAACTGCATAAGGTCATATGAACGCGGAGCTTCTTTGCCAACTTGAACTTAACGTACTTTTCTAACACAAAACGCTTTTTTTTGGGGGGGGGTACTAAAAGACATGGCTGGTGGAACCGTGCTGATCAGACCACTGCAAATGTGTGCATAGATTATGGCGTCTGGATATTCAAACACAGTTCTCAGATTTGGTGCAGATCCAAGGAAAATTGGAGAAATCATTCATTGTTTTGATTGATTGATTGGGTAGATGTTTTACGGCACTATCGACACAATTCATTCATTGTGTTCTTGCAGTCACCAAATCTGAGGCATTAAGTAAGTGCCGAAGATTGTGTTTCAACAGAGTTTGTTTATTTGAGTAAAGAGAAGGATATTGGCACAATAACGGTCATTCCCTGCTGGGAAAAAGTAAGACAGACAGAAACAAGAGAGGGAAAAGTACAGAAGTAGGAGCTACAAGTGACACCCTTCACCCACCCGCTTACAAGAGAGTAACAAACACAAAATGGAGAAGGAGAGATAAAGACGTCATAGGTGTTTAATTTTACTTAGAGTCTTACGGCACTTGCAACACAATAAGGTCATATCAGTGGCGAAGACTAGAGGTGTTACAAGAGAGTAACAAACACAAAATAGAAGGAGGGAAGATCAGGACGATAGATGTCTGAT